TGCATCTTATTTCCATCCCAGTTAGGTGCCTGGAGTGAGGCAGGATGGCGTTAGAAACCAACTGTCTTCCAGGAAGGAGGGAGGTGGAAAAGAGGGATGTGGGAGAGGACAGGGGGGGTCTATCCCACTGAGCAAATTGACAAAGATGACACAACGGTTGCTGGAGGGGTTGATTCGTTGTAAACTGTTGGGTTTCATGTTGCATCCAGGGTACACTGAGACATGCTTGATGTCCACTGATCTTTGTTGTGTGTTCACTTTGTTTGGAGAGTAATTTTTAATAAAAGGATCAAAAATAAAAAGGTTGCAAATTAGTTATTCTCTTGCTTTGCAACAAAAGTGGGTATCAAGATGCTTTTCACACCAACTTTTGTAAGCAATCATGTCATTGGGAAACAATGTGAACAAAATACCTTTCTAGGTCAGATTTCACAAAGTGTTTCACAATAAAAACATCAGGTGATTTAAAATGGTGTGTACAGAGTTTTAATCCAAATGAAAAGTTGATTTTATCAGCCATGGCTTGAGCCTTGAGTCGGGAAAAAGGAAAAACAAATAAAAACAAATAAAAACAAATCAGAGGATCTTAGTACAGAAGAATATGATAAATTATTTCCTTGTTTTAAAGGGCCCATGTCATGCTTTTCCGGTTATTACCCGTCCCCTTGTGTGTTATGAAGGTTGTTATGCATGTAAACGGTCTGCAGAGTCAAAAACCCTCAAAGTACACCCTGTAGCGAGTAAAACTCTAACACAGTCTATGCTGCCCCAAAACGCCTCGTTGGAGATTTCTCATTTTCCATTGTTTACTTCCTGGGTACTGTGACGTGTGAATACCCAGAGGCCACACCCTCTGCCACCATTTCACGAAACAAAGCTTCACAAACCTTTCAGCGATTCATGCCGGATATGTACAGCGTAGGGCACTGAAGAACGATGCTGTTCCTACTTTGTTTGGACCAGAGGGGATTAGAGAAGGGGCTAGAGAAGGGACTTGAGAAGGAACTTGAGAGGGGACTCGAGAGGGGACTCGAGAGGAGAGTTGAAAAGGGGCTCGAGAGGGGACTCGAGAAGGGACTTGAGAGGGGACTTGAGAGGGGACTCGAGAGGGTACTCGAGAGGGGACTTGAAAAGAGACTTGAAAAGGGACTCAAGAGGGGACTTGAGAAGGGACTTGAAAAGGGACTCGAGAGGGGACTCGAGAAGGGACTTGAGACGGCCGGACCGCCAACAGGAGACGGGGAGCCGGAGCCGGCCGGCACGCCGACAGGACACGGGGGGGGTTGGCGTCGGCCGGAGAGCCAACAGGAGACGGGGAGCTGGAGTCGGCCGGTACGCGGACAAACAACAAAAATCTAAAATTGTGACAATAGTCTAATGGCGCATTTCCACCATGGCGCGGAGCTGCGGTTTAAGCGTGCCGTGTTGTGCCGGGCCCGTTTTTGGTTGCGTTTCCACTATGCCTAGTTCCGGCCCGGGGCTAGTTTTTCACCTGTTTTCTGGCCCGACAAAATCGTGGTTGTATCGGGGCCAACAAACAGGGCTGAGTCGGGCTGAGTTTGCTAAACTAGAGAGAGAATCGCTGGCAAGGGGGCTACAACTACAACAAGATGAACATATTTGACCGTGATTTAATTGTAATACACGTTTCAAAATGATGCCGAAGTAACAACATACTGATACCGGTTAGTAAAAACCATGAATTAATGCTTTGAAAAGTCTGCAGACAGACGGCAGGCGAAAAACCTTTTAAAATGCGTGTTGTCTAAATGGAGATCGGCTAAGCTAACGCAATATATGCTCCGACCGTCCACACTCACAACAATGGCCTACAGACATAAATAAACCAGCGACTGTATTCACCATGACACAGACAGTCTGTGGTGTGTACTTGTTTAACTTTTGTCTAGTTTCTGAACAGATATGAGGAGCTGTGAGCTTGAGTGCTAACAGCTAACGGCTGATGTTGTTTTTCTGGGGTGCTCATTGAAGATGGCGTCACGGCTCCGCCTACACTGCGTTACTATAGATACTACCCCAGTTCCTAAACTGTAATGGAAGCGCAGCATTAAAGTGATCTGGGCCTAACAAGGCCTAACAAGGCCTAACAAAACCGTACTAAGTCGAGCGAGGCCTGCGGTGGAAATGCGCCATAAGTGTTCCCAAAACAAAGGCTTTAAGTATGTACCTAACATGTAAGCGAGCTGTCAATGAGGACTTTCACATTTTAGGTCTGACCTTTTAACGCGGTCTGACCCCGAAAAGAATAAAGTATATATAAAGGTTGGAGCTAGTGCTACCAGAAAACTGTCAATAATGTTATATAATTCAAACTGATTTCTGCGGAAAAAGGTCACACTTTTACTTTTAACCTTTTGCTGGTAATTCTGAACTTTAGTTTGTAGTTTGTAATGGAGTATTTTTGCATTGTTGTATGTCTTTCCCAATCTACTGTATCTTCCACTCCTCGAGAATACCTCTGTAGGTCTTTTCTCAGGTTTGATCCCACGCTTTGATCCGTTCACGTTTTCCTTTATCTGTTTTCCCCCCACAGCTTAGCCTCTCTGCTCTTTGTCAAGTCAGCATCGAGTCAGACCCACCATCAACGACACATATTCCCAGCATCACACACATAAACAAAACCCCCCGCACACACATATCCCTTTCTCACTCTATTATCCCATGTCCTCAGTGCAAACACAAACAAGCTAATGGAGAAGCAGGTGTCCTTCTACTGGGATAAATAAACAGTAAACCAGGATCCAGGAGCAGAAGGTTGAGAGAGAGAGAGAGAGAGAGAGAGAGAGAGAGAGAGAGAGAGAGAGAGAGAGAGAGAGAGAGAGAGAGAGAGAGAGAGCGAGAGAGAGAGAGAGGAACGGGGGAGTGGGGGATTGCTGTTGGTTTCTCTCTCAATGAGTAGGGAGAAACTTTGAATATGGCTGATAGCATCTTTAAAGCTCCCACTGTCTCTAACAAAGCTATTTGTTTTCAGTCAGGGTGTTTCTTTGATCTCTTGTTTTTGGATTTAAGGTTTTATTGTACATTCATGTTTATGTTTGACCTTTTTTATCACAATCATCCCAGCTAGTAGCAGAGGAGTAGGAAAGTTACAGTCTGATAAAAAATACGTATGTCACAACAGCTCAAAATGTATGGAACGATAAACTTGTTTTACTTTTGCAACAATTTAATTTATTTTAACAAGAGTCTCTGTTTTATGAACCCCTACTGACAGTAAATTGTTAACCGTTAAGAGTGGCCCTCTTGATTTGTTTACATGCTAATTTCAACTTTTTGTTGGCACTCTTTCGATGATTCTGGAGGTTTCGGGACTAATTTGCCTGTTGTTCGCAGCTGTGCAGGCTGATGGTAATCCTCCAGGACGATGTAAACGGTGTTCCTTATCATCATCCTGTAACTGTGATACAGGTGGCAGTTTTACTCTTTAAAAGGAAGAGAAAGGTTGACTCAGCTGTATTAAATCAACTCACAGCCATAATGGAGGAAAATGTAATATTGCATTTTGTATATATTGTATTTTGTCATAGATTTATGATTAAGTCTCTTGGTGCCCTTAACAGATGTCGTGGATAAATAATAGATAAATACACTTCACCCAAACTCACTTACCTGCTTTTACTTCATATTTACTTGTAATGTATGTTATTTATTAAATCAAAAGAGGCTCTACGATATAAACGGACAGCTAGAGCTTTTTAGGATTTATAGACGTTTTTTTTTCAACCTAAGCACAGGATCAGAAAAGCTGTAATAAGGTCACCATGAAATCACATTACAACCAGAAGTCTCTTTAACAGTATGAAACATAATTATGGTCTTGGGTTAGATCTAAAACACCAAACCGATGTATGTGCCAATACTGTCATTTTTAAAGAGAGAATATAAAAATGAAGGTAAAATAGTTAAGCATACACAATTTTCCAAGTCTGAATGTTCTTCAAAAAAGGCTGTAAATATGCTCACTTACACCTTACATTTCTAAGATTATAAAATAGTGCAGCCTTTTGGATTTTGTCCCCTTTCTTTTACATTGGAAACCTGTTCCAGATTGATTTCTTAATGGCTACAGCAAGTAAAACTGTTTCAATGTTCATGCATACACATTTTGAACCAATCCTTTAATTCAGATTCTTTGTACAAAAAAGCGTTTTATGTAGTTCCACCCTTCACTCGAGCTCCTTTCCCATTTAATGTTTCTGCTAATTTGCAAGTATTGTTGTTGTTGTTGTTGTTGTTTTTCTGATTGAAAATAGCGTTATGTTGAATTTGTATTTAGTTGTCATTTAGGGTCATTTTAGTTATCCTTCAGTGTTTTAATCACCTTCTTAAATACCTTTAATCATCTCTATGTTTTTCATGAATTAGGCAGGCTTTTATGAGATATATCATGCTTTCCATGTCCACTTCATTAGGTACACAATTGCATGCAAACCAGTATCTACAACAACTCTGACACGTTTTTATTGCTGAAGTCGTAGTTAATGGTGATTAATAAATACATGTGTTTTCAATATTCCTGTGAATCAACTGTGCAAAACATTTGAAACACATTTAAATATATATTGCAGTCAATTTCAACACTAATACAAACTACACCCTCAAAAATCAACTTGCAGTTAAATCCATGCTTCTCTGGTAGTGTCAATCAAAACATGGAGTTTCTATCTATCTTTTTTTTTAAGCTGTTGCATTGGATTGCATTAACTGTTACAGGTGCACCTAATGTAGTTAACACCAACTCAGTGTTTTTATCTCCCAATAAATGACCCAACTTAAAAATCAAAGCTGTTGCACCCTGCTCCTCCTCTGGCTCACCCCAAGTCTCTCTCCAGCTCTCAGGTATAGGCCACCAGCTGAGCCAATCACAGCCTAGGAGCCTCAATTGACAGTTTGGCCCCGCCCTCCCTCCACCTGTAATCCAATCCGGTGGCCTGTCACAGGTAAAACCGGCCTTAATTTCTCAGCATTGCCCAAAAAAGCGAGAAAAGCCGACAAAACCCGTTCTCTCACTAGGGAAACCTTGTTTATTGCCGCTGCCCTCATACAGTGTTAGCGGCGCAGTTTTCCACCTAAAGAAGACGGATCGGATTTTCAGTACCAACTAGAAAGTCCAGTTCGACCGACCGAGATGTCACAGGAGCATGACAAGTAAGTTGCCCTGACTTTCCACTTTAGCCTGCACAACGAGCACGAGTCACTATAAGCTGTTATTATTGACACTAACTATATTTAGTGTTTTTATTTTGTGAGTTCATGGCACAGAGGGATTTTAAAAGGTCTTACTGTGGTTCACATCTGACCCGCAGCTGCTGTCTACTTTTATAAAATCTGATATTTAAGGATTATTTTGTAGGATTTCTTATTAGGTTTATTTCTTAAATTGACTTTAAGACTTGGCTGCCAAGCTGGGAAGCGATGATATCTCATAGTTTCCCATGGTGTAACTGCGCTCGTTTCACCTGTCATGTTCAAGCCTGCACAGGTGTATCTTCACCTGTCGTGCGAGCAGAGTCTGGCTGTGGGAATAAAAACGGTCCCGTGATAGCGATGCCTGGGCGGTTTAGTGTTTGATTTCGCTTGAAGCCCTAACAGTTATGTGGATAGTCTTAATGATGTTTGTTCAGGAATAAATATGGACCTCAGCAAGGAGCTGTCAGCTAAAGAAAACTGAAGAAAGTGTCATATTCATGTAAGAGTTTGGAATCAACAGCTTCACTGACAAGTATTTAAACAGAGGAATATGTTTTATGTTAAATGCTTAGCTCATATTCTGTATGTTTTTGAGGGCAATGACAAGGAGACTTTGGAGGGGAGTGAAATCATACACCTGCTAGGCGTTGGCTCGACTTTACTAACAGAGACAATGTAAGCAAGCACAGGGCCATATGAGGTTTTTGAGGATTTTACTTTACAGGACCCAAATGTTTTGGGTCTCAAACATGTAAGATTACATGCACATTTATCTAAATGTTAAATAAATGTGGGTTTTTTTTCATACTAGGGTATATAAAAAAAGTGAAAGTCTGTGAATTCATGATGCATTACTGACTTGGATATGGATTCTAATTTTAATATCTGTCTGAAAAGCAATCAAACTCTTAATTTGTTGTATTGGTAACGGAATACTTGAGTTTTATTGCCAGTAAATAAAGGGTCTTATCAGGTTGCCTTTTATGAATAGCACAATTACATATAGGATTACTAATTATCACTTTCCCTTGACCATTGAGAAGAAAAAAGCTGTTTGTTGTAGATACTCAACATGGAAACTGAGCCAGACCATTTACACTAAATCATTATTACTTTGTTGTGGTAGAAAATCAAGCAGATGGATTTGGTAGAAGGGTGATTCAAGGAATGTAATTTCCAAAGTTTGACAAGGAAATCTAATGAAACTTATGAGCTTGAGTAATGACTAAACTTAGTTTTCTAAGTAAATAGAAGATGAGCAAACATTACTGTAAATAGGTAAGTTCAGTGGTAACTGTTCAATAATTGTCACTTATTTGAAATTGATCCTATAGTCCTTTCAAATTAAAGGTGTTTACCTGAGTTAAATGATCTCGTTATAACACATTAAGACAATTAGTAGCAGATGAGACACAGAAACTGGAGCTGTTGTGTCCTGTTTGCAAAGCAATTACTCAAAAGGCCATCCCGAGAAGGAAGAGGAAGAGGAAGATGCATGCTGTGACTTAAAAACTCATGATTCTCTACAAAAACAGAAGCATGGCGCAGGAATGTGGCAGAGTCAGGTGCGTCACTTGCGGTCAGCTTCTCAGCCAATGAGCAGTCCCAGAGGAGAAGCGTAGAGTCGTCACACTGGACGAGCCTGTAGAGCATCTTTCGTTCAAGACAGCGCAGTGGTTCGATTGGCTGAGATTTGTTGCACAATCGTTGAAAAGCTTGAACAACAAGTCTAACAGATAAAGAACATACAGGGTTGATCTCTTGCTCTTATAACCTGTTTGTCTGTTCTGAACAAGGTTGTGATTGTAGGTCTTGGCTTTGTGAACTTGTATGAAGTCAGAGAGGAGAATCAATCTGTTCAATGCTTGAGGAGAGGCTCATAAAGGGCGGCACAAAATATCGTTTTTTCCTCCTCTCCAAATCAAGTTGCACAATGAAACGCATTGCGAAAGATTGCAATATATTGCACTTAGGGCTTTTTTGTCTTTGTTGAAAAAGTATCAGTAGAAAAGTGCACTTTTAAATGATCTAACTCTGAGGCATAACTGACTACATCTGCTTTGTCTTAATATCATTTTCACAATATTCAACGTTATCACATATTTTTTACCTCAATTGGTGAAGCCCTAAAAAAAAGCATGCGACAAAGTGTTTGCGATGGAAATAAGCATTTACATCTTAATAATTGGTTTGTATATAACCTATGACACTTTCTCTCTTGCAGTAAGCGTGCGGTCCTGGTTCTCCAGAACGAGCTGGGTTATGGCGGGCAGCGTCGCTCCTACACCACAGAAGATGAAGCCTGGAAATCCTTTCTGGAGAACCCGCTGACGGCCGCCACCAAGGCCATGATGAGCATCAACGGAGACGAGGACAGCGCCGCAGCTCTGGGCCTGCTCTACGACTACTATAAGGTAGAGAACGAATGAATCTAACAACCACACCATGCAGGAATTCAACTTTCTGAGCTATTTCCTCTTGAATTCTCAGTGGATCTGGAAGCAATCGAAAGTGCAAATCTTAGGTCTGGGGATTAGTTGCCAAATCCTTACATGCCTTACCTATATGGTCTTACTCTGTACTGACATAGGACCCTGAAGCAAACATCTGTGAGGCAGAGCATGTCATGTAACTGATCTATAGACAGCAGGATGATTTGGCTTGTTGGAAGTGATGTGGTCAGATGCTGAGCGGCTGTGTTTACCCTCCCATACAGGTGCCCAGGGAGAAGAGAACAATAACCCAGAGCAAGCCAGAAGCCCTGGTCTGTGATGTGGATCCTAACAAAAGGTAAGCAACAGCCCTCGCCTAGTACCACCCTCCTTTTAAAAATTAAAACCGTGAAAAAGCAGAGAAGCTCTTTCCTGGTTTTTGAGTTGTGTGTGTACATCTGCATATACATGAGTGAGCAGGACGAAGCAGTCTTAATCTTTTTCTGAATCTGCACACATATTCATTTTTGGAGTAGCATAAAAAGTATTTACAGAAAGAAAACAGCCTTGTTTTCAGCTGTTTAAGAGTCCAGGCCTGAGATTAAAACGTATTCACATTCAGACAGTCACACAACCAAGTGGCACCAAAATAACTAATAATAACAGTGTCGTAAAAGTGAAACATAAAGCTTTAAAGTTTCAAAAGAGAATACAATAATTTTCCTTGAGAGTTGTTCAATTCATTTTAAGCACCTGAATCCAAGATGATCACTTACTTATCCCCAAAAGGCAATTGGTTGTTCAGCAGTGAAACCCAAAATTATAAAGACAGAGAGCACATGAACACATACTGTATGCATATAAAACAGCAACAAAAGTAAGGGTTAAAAGTAAGCAAATATAACTTAAACATAAAGAATTGTTATATTTATGTCAGGAAAGGTTTTATTTTGATATGAAAGAGTTATTATACGTTAGATTTTGCTTATATAACTCATAAAATGTATTTTTAATTTAATGAAATGTTATTTGCTGCAGACACCAGATCCAGGCCGGACACTCCATAGCGCCACATCACGAAGGGGGGATGGAGAACAGGATCCAGGTGCTCAAGGGGCCCTTTAATATTCTCCAGCTGGCCCCGGACAAGAGATCCCAGTTCCCCTCCCCAGGTCTGTTCACATTCAATAACACAAAGAGCCACAAGGAGCTTTTAAAAAACAGAAAACCTGATTGTAAATGTTCTGATATTTCCCTTCTCAGACACAACCGTCACGGTTTCTGTCGCTATGCCGAACTACCCGTCCGTCAAGACAGAGGTGCCCTCCCACGGCTTCTCGGTGACCGTGCCAAACAACTGTGCCGAAACCGACGTCTTTGACCGCCAGCTCAACCACAACACGGTACAGTTCAGCCCCAGCACCCAGTCCCGCACGCCCCCCGACTCCACCTACTCCGAGAGTTACAAGGATGGTTCCCAGGAGGTGTGTGTTTCGATCCCCCTCTTTCTAAACCTCCCTAATGCTCTCCCTCGCTTTCCTCTCCTCTTGGCTCTCGGATCTCTCCCAACACACAATGGGATATTCACCCGATCCCATGGAGCCAGCGGTGGGCTCAGCCTTCCCTGGTTTTATTTGAACATGCCAAAATAGCGGCCAGTGTGTTATTATGCCATTGTCTCACCAACACAATAAAGTGCTGTACTTTTCTCCTACAATAGCCAAAGCCCTTTCTCTCTCTCCTCGTTTTCTATTTAGCTGGAGGGAAATTACCTTAGAATAGAGTAACCCGACAAAACCCCTGTACAGGAGGGGGTTGGGGGGTTTAGCAACGTGAGGGTAGAGCTATTGAAACTAAGAGAAATGGGGATGAACAGATTAATTAAATCTACAGAAACTGTTAATTCACACCAAAACCCAGACTGGGAAATAATGTCTGTGACCTGATTCAAATGTTATACCATGTTTCCCTGTGGCAACTTTAGATATTTATAACTAATAATTATGTTTAGTTCATTAATACATTTTTATTTACTTGTTTTCAAATCTTTATTTATCTATATAGGTGAGGGGGATATTTAAAAGACAGTTAATGAATGTCATGCTGCATGTGAATAAACAAGAATGACATGGTTGTATACTAATGTTAAAAAGATCCCAGTTCCGTATAAAATACGTGTGTAGAGGCTTATAAGTTGCTGTTATACGCTTATCTCTAATAAACTGAAACTTAAATACTGTTTTAAGTGGTGGAAGAAATAGATGTATATCCCTATGGAGTGCTAAATTATAATAGTCCCCTGGTGAATTATATAAATAAATAAATCATGTTTAGTATCCTCTTTTTGCTGAGCTTCACTTCACACTGTCTATCTGTTTATCTTTGTGTGCTGCAGGTGTTTTCCTTCCCAGGGGATCTCCAGTTACGCATGTCCTCCATGGCGCCTGAGGACTACACTCAGTTTAACACCGTGCCGGGGTAAGTCGCGCTGCCGCCAGCCCACCGCCCGACTTCCACCGCCATTCAGCTTTTTAACACAACACCGCAGAATGGCCTCATTCATGGCAGTCACAGGGGAGACACCAGACTCCCCACCGTGTGAAAGACAAGAGTCGGCGCACACACGGGCGTTATCTGGCCCTACACACTGATTTCAAGATCGCAGTTTACCTGCAGCGGCTGAAAGAAGCGTGCACCATTATGTTTAACATGTATCCGAATGCCATTGTTGCATTGTCATCCAGTTTTACAGACAAGAAATGCCTTTTGATTCATGTTTTGTTGTTGTGTTATTTTAGGAACAACTTCGAATACACCCTTGAGGCGTCCAAGTCTCTGCGTCAGAAGACAGGAGACGGGACGATGACGTACCTCAACAAGGGCCAGTTTTACCCCATCACCCTCAGGGAGGTTAACAACAAAGGAATGCGGCAACCCATCACCAAAGTCAGGGTAAGAAAAGGAACATCAAAAATAAACCTGGCACAACATACGATTACATATCATCATTATTGTAACCTAATTGATGTTTCATTGTGTGTGTTTATGCATTTTCAGAGTGTAGTGATGGTGGTGTTTGGAGAGGAGAAGTGCAGAGATGATCAGCTGAAGCACTGGAAGTACTGGCACTCCAGACAGCACACTGCCAAACAGAGGTGTCTAGACATTGGTAAGAACCTAATTAAAAAAATGAAATCTATATTCCATAAAAAGTGTGTATTGATAGGCAAAAGAAGAGTCTAATAAACTAAAGAGTAACACCTGAGACACTGCTGGTGCACAGACGTTGGTGATTTTAATGATTCATTCCTGGTTTCACCGATGGACTGCCCAGATTAATCCTCCTGTGTCTGCACACACAGTGGCTGGTGGAAAGGGTAGTTTAGCAGGAGCTGACAGGAAAAGGTGTGTTGCTAAGGATTAATTTTGCAGCCTTTAAAACCTCAGCGTGTCTTACAGTAACTTGGTGAATAAACATAACGTTTTATACTGTATAAACTGGTTTAGCTGTGCATCTTTACCTGCTTTGGTGGCAAGCCACTACAGGCAAGAAACATCATTTAATTGTATGCAGAGGCCAAGGCTGAGAGACTGGGCTAAGCAAAACAATTGGATAATGCCTAATTTGCATATTTAACCATAGTTCAGTCAGACAACTAACGTGTTTCTTAATATGTTTATTATAGCATCATTTGAGTTTGGCGTCTAGGCTCGGGCCTCATCACTCCACAGATTTACAAAGAACATTGAGTGATGATTAGATAACTATCCCCCGAGCCTACAGGTGGAAGCTGGGGTGGAGCTGAGGTGGTGGTGGGGCAGGCAAGCAGCAGCAACATGAAACACAGCAGCAGGAACATGAACATAGCAATAGCAAGTGAACACAGCAGTGGCAGCAGCAGCATAAGCGAGGCAGAGGCAGGAAGACCTGGCAGCTTAAATAGAGCGGCATGTTTAGGAGAATGTGTTTGGTTGGTTGTAAGAGGGACGAGGTGCGTCACATGTTAATGTATCATTGGTGCTCGAGTTGACTGCCTGAACTAGCTCGCAGGCTTTGCCCCATTAGTGCAGAAAGCTTGTTATACAAAAGTATTGTCTTTGTTTAAATAATCAACAGGAACGGTTTCATGCTGATTTGTATTAGTTAAATTACCTACATGTTTATCCTATTCACCTGCAGTGTATTTTCTTAAATGAGTCACTAAACTCTCATTTTGTCACAGCTGACTACAAGGAGAGCTTCAACACCATTGGCAACATCGAGGAGATTTCCTACAACGCCATTTCCTTCACCTGGGACACCAACGAGGAGGCCAAAGTAAGAGAATAAAATAGCCACACACAAACACACACAGCTTTATAGATACACAACTGATGGATAGAGCTGCTTCTACATCACTCATGTAAGAACAAGCACAGTTTCCATGTCTTGAACTCTTAATTTGAGCCTTGACCTTTACATATACACACATACATCCTTAAGACAGAAATAGACTCCTCCTCTATTTAAAGGTCTTGTGTGGTTTTTGCCACAGACCAGAATTAGGGTTTCAGGTGTTAACTTCCCTTTGTTAGTTATTATAAGCTGCTCTGTTCATTGTAATCGTACAAAACAATCGTTGAAGAACTTAAAGAAAATGGGGGCTTTAATAGAAGACTGAAGACACAAGGTTCCTCCCCTCCTGTGTGTTTAGCCTTGTTGCGTAGAGACGTTGATCTATTGTGATGCTGCCTGTTAAGGTATTTCAGACGGGCGCAACAAAAGAGTGCAGGAATGAGGAAACTCAGCGGGGGGACAAGGATTGAGTTGGACAGACAGATAACAAATTAAACGGGTCCTCTCTCCCTCTCTTCATTTTCCATTTTGTGTTGACCCTCGTGTCACTGATCCACTGTCGGCCTGAGATGGAGGACAAGCTAACAGACCAGAGACAATATGGTGCTACACACACACACACACACACACACACACACACACACACACACACACACACACACACACACACACACACACACACACACACACACACACCAGGATGTGGGTCTAACTGTCTCATGACTTGAGGCCTTTGTCCATAGGATGTTCATCCTTGTGTGTGTTCAATTCTCCTCCGTGTGTATTTTCGGAAGCACCGCCCTTCCATGTTAGCTGACGGTGTGTCTGTGTGTGTGTCTGTATATGTGTGTGTGTGTGTGTGTGTGTGTGTGAGCAGGTGTATGCATATGCCCCCGGGCAGCATATACGTATTTGCACATTGCAGCCCCTCCCTGATGTTTACCTGCTCCGGGGCAGTTTAATGATGTTATCACAAAAACACAACTGAAAGAAACCCAAAATACAAGAAAATGTTCATCTTTATAACAATAATCGCTCATACTAATGACTCCAATATTATTATAGCACACTTCAAGGTTGTAGAAAATAAAGTTGTACTGTTTCTACACACAAATACAGCAAAAACATTTAAAAGAAATACAACTATAAACAGTCTACATTCATGCTTATTTGTATAGTGTTTGTTTACGCTTCAAAATGTAACCAATCAACCAAATACAAGTGCAAAGAATCAGGCATACCAAATTCGTTTTTATTAAAAGAAGAAAACATTTAGCATTATTTTGGTGACAGACTTTAAAATATGAGTTCCTGACATTGAGAGACTCAAAATAACATACAATTTCAAATAAAAACAACCTTAAAGATGGAGTTGAGTTAACGAATGTAGCTTTATGTGAATTGTATTCCAACTTGACAGACTTTAATCTTAATAGTTTCACTATAAATAAAACATGCTTAGTGTTTTTTACTGATAACTTAACTGACTGTCTTTTTAATAATATGTATAAGACGAGGGATAGCCTACCACTTGCTTACCGATTTGGTTCCTCTCTGTTTGGTGCTTCCAAATGGTCTGTTATTAGAGTGTTTTGTTGACACAATGATAACCTGTTTTCAATACAAGCACCACGAGGACAAAGGAGCATCTCTTACGGTAGGACAAAATGAGCCTGTGATACTAAAGCTGACCAGTAGAGGGCAACACAGGACACTGGATGAGGGGGCTAAACTGCAGAAAAAGCCTTCAGTGTTGCACAATGATGATGATAAAATAAAATCACAGTGAACACCTTCTCTCACTTTCAGAAGTAGAGTTGACTTCAATTGACAAAGCTTCTAGATGTTTTTATTGGACGATGAAGTACTCAGAAATGACCATTATGCAGAAAGGTTATGTCGGTAAAAAGTAGTTGCAGGAATAAGAGAAAAACTTAAGTACCTTAAATGTGTACTCGGGGACAGTGCAACTATGTACAGTTAAAGCAGTTTTTCTGTGTGTCTTAACCACAACATTCCTGCCTCCTTCCTCTTCAGATCTTCATCTCCGTCAACTGTCTGAGTACCGACTTCTCCTCCCAGAAGGGCGTGAAGGGTCTTCCTCTGAACATCCAGATTGACACCTACAGCTACAACAACCGCAGCAACAAGCCCATCCACCGCGCCTTCTGCCAGATCAAAGTCTTCTGTGACAAGGGGGCCGAGAGGAAGATCCGAGACGAGGAGAGGAAGCAGTCCCGCCGGAAAGGGAAGGTCCCAGATCTCAACCCCAGCCTGGCCTGTGAGTCCCTCAGGAGAACCTAACATTTGTATAACAAGCACAACAAATATGATCTGTAATTTCGTACTAATTCTCACCCTAAATTACCTTTATCAGTTCAAGAGTTCTATTTTTTTCTCTTAAAGATACACTAATATATACTTTTATGCAAACAATGCATCCACTTAAATGTGTAATGAGAGATTGAAGTGATGATTTCACTGAGAAATATCACATGACTCCGCACTTCCTGTCAGCCGTGGAGCATTTATTATCTTAAGACTTAGATATTTCCTTCAGGAGTTACTGGAAACAAAACACGAAAAGAGAGCAAACATTTGACTCATTTGTGTATAGACACACAACTTCATAATAACTGATGGTCCTCAGTGTTTGCTCGATGTGTAATGGAGCTGCAACAATTAGCCGATCCACGGATAAATAATCCCCCATTATTTTAATACCCTTTAATCTTTTGAAAAGTGACTGAAAATGTTGCTTCAGGCATCTCAAATATGGACATTTAAAGATAAGAAGATACATCGAAATATAGAAATAGTAAACAGTTTAATTGATAATGAAAATAATTATATTTTCAGACCTCAATGTGTGAATAACCAACTTTTAGCTATAACACATTTGCTGTAACAACCATATCATGAAACTGTCCATGTTTTACGGTGTGCTGCCCCCAAGTGGACATAATAATATATTAATAGAGGTTTAATGTTTTTGAAGATTTGCCTGTGCTTAAATAGAGGCTTTATAAATGACTTAACTATTTTTGTTTTGTATTTTCCTCCCAGTTGCGGATGTCAAAGGTCCCATCCTCCAGAAACGCAACGATATGACCATCTTCAAGATGCTGAACGACCACGAGACGCAGCCTGTCCTCTTCATCCCTGACGTTCACTTCTCCACCTTCCAGCGCCATGTGAGTGCCAGTCACATTACACATTACTAACTCTAGCACGTCTCACCAGTCATTTCTTACCATCAACATCTTGTTTTGCTACATTTACATAACATCCGTAGCATCTTAGATGGTCCATAAACATGTTCTGCCTCCACCCACTCATCAGCCATCTGGGTCGAGGTGACCTGGCTGCCTGCTAGTTGGCAGGAACAGGGAGTCCTTGTTTCAAGCTCTGATAGGAGTCCTATACACTCATGGATGGATTTAAAACTGCTTACTCACATAATGAATCATTAACCAGTGACTGAAAACAAACCCAGGATATGCTTCCCTGTAATGCCAACTCAATATGAAGATGCTTAATGGGACAGAGTTTCCCCCCAGTCATGCTTCAAGCATGCAAGCAGTCTGTCAGGTTTTATCTTCTCTGTGACTACTGAACTTTGGTTCTTCCAATCAGGACGAACACATCACATGACACAGCAGTGTGTGTGTACGGGCCTGCCCTCTGTGTTTTAGATTCTTAATTTATAGTGAAAACATAAAAAAAGTTTCTCCCTTTCGTTCCCTCTCAGTTAATAATGCTACCAGCGAGGGTGAGGGAGGGACAGGTTATTTTGGGTCCTTTCGAAGACATTGAACCTGGCTCGAGTGCTATCAGTTTCGGATAAACTCTGAGTTTACTGGGTTCTCTCTTAGAATAGAACTCTATTAACAGCATTGCAAGCAATCAATACAGTGGGAGAGCCGAATGGCTCCAAAAAACAGCTGCTTTCCAAGAATTACATCAAGAAAACAACATATTCGACTGACTCCAAAATATTGAAGTGGTTGTAGTGATTTGATGCACTCTGTGGATTACTTTGTAACATTATACTTTTATATAACACTGGACTATACAAATCCTACACATCTAATATATATCGTTTCTGTATTTGTATACATTGTTCACTATTTTAACAGTTTTCAGAATATATTTAGCTTTTTATAAGGTTATTAAATGGCATTCTTTCATCTTATGTAGAGCACTTTGAACTATTTCTGTATTTGAAAGTTGCTATAGAAATACGTCCTGCCTTTCCTAAAAAAAAAAAGGATGCGATAGCAACTACTAATACTACTTCCATATAAACTCATTTCTGTCTTTCTGTTTCCTCTGCAGCCTTACCCAACAGAAGATGGAGAGGACAGGTGAGTTCACTGGGGCCTTGATTTCACGCTTCTCACAAATACTTTAAAGTACTTTTTGAGTCACCTTCCCAGTAAAAGGCATACAGGGATGTTGTTTCTAGGAAAGGCCCATGGGGCTTTGTGTGTGTTGTATAGCCTGTTAGCTGGTTGTGAAGCACGTTAAACAGTGATTTGTGTGTTTGTGTGTGACTGCAGCTCGGGCATGAAGAGATTACCCTTCAGTGATGAAGAGTTCGGTGCACCCCCAAACAAGATGGCGAGAGGAGAGGAACCAAAGAAAGGTTGTGTGTGTGTGTGTGTGTGTGTGTGTGTGTGTGTGTGTGTGTGTGTGTGTGTGTGTGTGTGTGTGTGTGTGTGTGTGTGTGTGTGGTGTGTGTGTGTGTGTGTGTGTGTGTGTGTGTGTGTGTGTGTGTGTGTGTGTGTGTGTGTGTGTGTGTGTGTGTGTGTGTGTGTGTGTGTGTGTGTGTGTGTGTGTGTGTGTGTGTGTGTGTGTGTGTGTGTGTGTGTGTGTGTGTGTGTGTGTGTGTGTGTGTGTGTGTGTGTGTGTGTGTGTGTGTGTGTGTGTGTGTGTGTGTGTGTGTGTGTGTGTGTGTGTGTGTGTGTGTGTGTGTGTGTGTGTGTGTGTGTGTGTGTGTGTGTGTGTGTGTGTGTGTGTGTGTGTGTGTGTGTGTGTGTGTGTGTGTGTGTGTGTGTGTGTGTGTGTGTGTGTGTGTGTGTGTGTGTGTGTGTGTGTGTGTGTGTGTCCACGTGTGTGTGTGTGTGTGTGTGTGTGTGTGTCCACGTGTGTGTGTGTCCACGTGTGTGTGTGTCCACGTGTGTGTGTGTCCACGTGTGTGTGTGTCCACTGTGTGTGTGCATGTTAGCACTCTTGGGGTCATGTGATTATTCCAGCTCTTTGAAAACACTCACACACGTGTCTACGGCCTGCACTGACCTAACAAATACCAGTGATAGCTACGTGCACACACACACGTGCAAACAAGTCTATGCCCTTTCCCCTATATCCTATTCATAGGCATAAAGCAAGCTTAGAAGCTAAACATGGAGTGTAGACAAAATGGGTATTAATTCAAAATCATTTTTAATGACTCTGCATAATACATGCATACAGTCAATAGCTTCCAAAAGCCAGATAGAGCTGCAGGAGTTTAGGCTGTAAACTATCTACAGAGAACTAATAACACTGATCAGACCACAGTGAGGTTTCAGGGGTCAACAGATGTCCCTGTTGCACAAAATAATATACATTTATTTAGGGTCTTCCACCTAAAGATATTATATTGTGAACTACTGCATACGTTAATCTCATTCAGCCTTGAAAAGCCCTTCAAATGAACAATCCCAGACCCACTTCCTCCTGTATTTCCTTATTAATTCAACCAGGTTATTCCTGTTGAAAGAAGACCTTGCCAAGAGTAGTAGGAGTTTAGTAGGAGTTTTTGCCAAGAATACCAAAGACTGAGGTGGCGTGCCGCACTATACAAACATTAACCTGTAAAGAAGAAACAAATAGACATGACTTCCGAAGCTTAACTGCATACATTTCAAATTAAGCATTATTCTGCAAAAAAGCGATATAAAATTGAGTTTTAATCAAACTTAATTCAGTTTAGATTTGGGGAAAATCTTTCCCCATAAGCTTCCATGTTTCAATGTTAGAAATGTGGCAGTAGTGTGATGGTTTGAATGCAAACATGCCGATGTTAATACAGTGAAGGAGATACTGCCAGTGTGCCAACAGCCTCCATGACGTCCATCTCAAACAAAGTTATTAATGGCGGCTCCAGAACACCGTGAACTCTGGCCTAAATACTGTAGCATTACGAAAACCCCCTTATATAGTCACTTACAATACTGTTTCACTTCCTTATAATTGGGTTTAGCTTCTCAAACTTCTGAAATCTCATGTGCATAGTTAGGTCTTTAAAAATGTGTTGCATTTAGAGACCACACATATCGCAACAGCTTGCAAAACAATACAAGAAAATCTATTTAGAGCATGATCTATTTTGAGTGAGAATGAAAGGTGGGTCCATGTTTGAATGTGCTTTCTAGGTGTGAATTGCGTGGGTCCAGGGCCAGTTTAGTTCTCAATGAGTGTCTCAAAAGTCCCGTAGTAGTGGTATAAGTTAATATGGCCAACAACATTGCAGAACATGTTTAAATGTACAAATGCATTAAACATAAGTATACATGTGCTTGAGCTTTACTTCTTCGAAATTGAGAAAGGGAAACACTTTAGCCACAAATCAGTCAAACAGTTCAGACTGACGTAAACACAAGCTTCAAGACTTTTGGCTGATGCCAGAATTGGGGCATGTTTTGTGTCCAACCCATGAACAAATGTGCTCTGCTTTGATGCCTTCTTGTCTCTTCTTTCTCTTTTCACCACACAGTCCTGCTGTACGTGCGCAGGGAAACAGAGGAGGTGTTTGATGCCCTCATGCTGAAGAATCCCACGCTGAAAGGCCTGGTGGAAGCTGTAAGTTGTCCTCAGTTGACTTCATGTTTTTGTTTTATACCGAGACCCAGTTCTCAGTGTGTCTAAAAGCAGTACAACCCACCAACACCTACAAACATCTGGCTTTTATCTTCAACTGGAAAGTTTACAATCTGCATTCATTCCCGGGACAAACGACCGCAGTAGAAATGGGTGTTCATCTGCTAAAAATCCACATGACAATTATTTTAATGTATTAACGTAAAAAAAAAAAATCAACTATCCTCTCCATAAAGTCACCAGAATCTATTGACAGAATGAATAATGTAATGTTGGAGAGTTTGAACAAGAGACTGAGTATTAATAGATACAAAAACAAGAAGAACAACAAGACCACCGTTGATTACTAACCTTTTAAGCTTTCTGGCATGACATCAAACCTGACACACCAAGGAAAATAACAGAAAGGCATGTTAGTCTAGCATATGGAAAAGGAGTCGCCTATTTTTTCCAGGATTTAAAAAAAACCTGAATAAACATGCACATTTTGGAAAAAAGTGTATATATAGGCAACTGTGGCCTGTTAAATAAGCTGCAGGACACCAACTAGAAACAATGTAGGGTAGACTGAGTACAAAAAGTGAACTGGGGACATTGAGAAATAGAGAGAAAGGGTGTGTGCGGGTTAAAAAGGGACACAGGGAACTAAGGGAGGGGAGTTATGGGGAAAAGAGGAAGTGGGGACGTCCTGGGGAGAGGGAAGAAGAGGAGATTGTGGGAAAAGGGTGTTTTAAAAATGCAAAGAGAAATAGAAGAATAGAAAGAGGCTGGTGGGAGACTACTTTAGGGTGCAAAGGTTGTGTATAGTGATTATAGAGAACCATGAACAGGTGCACCAGGTGTCTGTAGAGGATTACACTATTTTATATTTTCTTTCTTTAAGGTTCTCTTAATAATTCAACATTGATTTGTGTTTCTTTTTTCAACCAGATTTCAGAGAAGTATGAATTACCTTTGGATAAGGTTGGGAAAGTCTACAAGAAGTGCAAGAAAGGGTGAGTCATCAACACTGTACTACACTGTCTGTGAGCAACCAAACCCAAATAGTTGATTCTTTTGATTTACATCTTAATTGCTTTATTTATTCTTCTTGTATTATTATTCACATTATTTTGATTTTTTTATTATTATTTGTATAGCACTTTCATTTAAAAACAGCAATAATATTGATTTAAATAAAACATTCTGGTAAAGATAAAGTGTTCAGTGTTGCAGAGCAAGCAAGACATTTAAAAGACCTACTAATTAAAATACATAAGGCATAAGAGATCATAAATGAACCTGATTTTACACTTTAGTTATCTTTAAATGAAACAAAGAGGTCACTAACATCCATATCTGTTTGATAATAGGATCCTAGTGCACATGGATGACAACATCATCCAACACTACTCCAACGAAGACACCTTCCAGATCACCATGGAGGAGATGGGCGACATGTGCAAACTCACCCTCACTGAGATCTGATTGGACGATGCCAGCAATAGAGGACCAATGAAATGGAGCTGTCAGAAGAAGTGGTTTACACATCTTGCTACGCAGTGATTATGGACTTGATCTGACACTTAAATCATATTGTCTTTGTGCTGCATTAATTTCAAAAGTCAGGTATTTAAAAAAAGCCACAGCTCTTCATGGATCGCAATGTTGATTAGGTGTGTAAGTTATACATTTTTGATTCATTTTAAACCTTTCTCTGTGTATACGACTCAACAAGTGAGTCCAGGTTTTATTGTATACACATTTATTTTGTATTCAGTAAGTTGCACCTCACAGAGTTGTGCCTAATTTTGTAAATGTTTGTGCAGAGCATTTGTGTGTGGCTGCTATACCTCATGCTATGCAAGCAGCAGTGTTTCTTTTTATGAAGAGAAACGACTCGTCTTTCCCTTCCTAAAGCCATAGCACTGATGATTACAATCCGTAAAGTTGGGTATTTTGCGCACAAAATGAAGACGGCAAATTGTTGATAGAGCCCCCAGTGGTTCAGTGTATTAATACTAAACAACATGGCAGTATTCGTTGTGTAAAACTCTCTTCAACCGTCATGCAATTAGGGTAGAATATTGTAAATGATTGTGATTATTTCTTTAGTGTAGGAGACATGTTTGTGAATGAAATTATGATTGATTTTTAATCAGGTCGATATAAAAATGGCCTCTATGTGAGTATTAAATAGTCATTAAATACATGAATAACAATGCTAAAAAGCGTCCCTGTAGAGTAGGTTTCTGAAGGTTGATGAAATAGGTCAATCAATGTGTAGTGCAGTCAGGCTGTTCTGGAAGTGCAATATGATATTAAGGGTCAGACACATTCGCAAAGAGAATCTCCTCTATTGCCAAAAAGAAATTCATATCATCTGGTTTAAAAAAAGGAAATATTTTTGTATATAGCCACTGAAAAAACTGATCGATATGGTCTCTCCTTTTGTATCTCAGTACTTATTGTGTATATATTTATTATTAAGAGAATGGATGTGGGTCCTTGTTTTTTTTAATATCCAAATTTCTATTATACCTATTAATATAATGTTTATTTGCTTTTTATATGAAGTTATATTAACATTACATGTCAAGGGACAAAAAGATATTAACATGTTTTTAATTGTTGTTGTTTTTTGTAAAGGATTTGATGCACAAACCGCCCAATAAAGGCTCTCCAGTAGCTTCTGTCTGTTGAGACTCTGTTTCTACCTTTGATCGTTTGACATGTTTTCTACCTTTTCAAACACATATTAAAAACAGCCTATCTTACAACAGACTTGTAATATGTAAGTGGTTCAAGTCATAGTAGGTCTGTCTGTGGTTGATGTGTTGAGCTGCAGCAGATATGAACTGTGCCTTTGCCGGTGCTTTCTGTGTCTGTCCACAGGAACAGATGTCTGGGCATCAAACCTAACCCCGTTCACAGGAAACAGGCATGACAGGACGGCCTGCTGCAGAGAAGCTGCTCTGTCGGAAACCTGGCTATTGATTGCTGCATTCACCCTTTGGTTAAAGTAGCCTATTATTTGATTTAAGCCACTCTAGTGATGCGGGTCTAAACAATGTAATGTCAATCAGCCGGTCCATCCCTTTGGTCTCGAAATATCTGAACCTTTAAGATAGATTGCCATGATGTCTTGATGCAGACATTCATGTTCTCCCAAGGATGAATCCTAACAGGTCTTGTGGTCCACTGACTTTTATACAAGCCCCACTGTGAGGTTGACCCAGCTGTTGGTGATAACAGTGAAACCTCATAGAGCCACAAGTCTATAATTATATGAAATAACATTAGAGTAAATTACCTCCTAAAAGGTTATCCTAGATATGTTTCTATATGTTCGAAGAATATTATATTTGTTTTGCAGCACAGCAGCAAAGATAATAGCCAAGGATAAAAACTATTTTTTATGACACCTATAAGATGTTGAACTCATGACTGCACATGACACACTGTACAGGTTCAGGTGAACAGAAACAGAAAGGCCTGGAGATTTGTAAGAGTCTGTGTGCGCATGCGCGAGTTGGAACGCAACGATCCCCTGAAACTTTGACACAATCGTGACGTCATCATGACGTACTCGTGACGTCCTAGTGGTTTTTGTCTTTGGAAGGCATGCTGCCTTCAAGTACAGAATGTATTATAATCTCTCTCTTCACCAGACTGAGAAACCACTTTGAGTTTATGCAAACCATACTGATTGTTCTGATATTTCAAACAAACCCAGACAGCAAAACATCTTTCTACAATGGAATCTCAAACTCAATCTCAATCTGAGATGGTTGTAGTCACATCAGGGGATCTTTTGCCCATAGTCAACAAATATTTTGATAAAATGTCATCGGCGCAGTGGAGTCTGATATCTTCACAGACCTGCGACTCAATCTCAAAAGGTGTACTGGCTGATATGTTGACTGAAATTATCCAGTCACTTGCTAAAGCATGGAGCACATTCTTAAAAGTCCATCTCTTGCGGAAATAACTGCACCTTTGGAGAACTTAAAAGTATGCCTAGGAGACTCTCTCCACAGTAGCTTTGCTGTTGCTCTGTGCTTCCCACAGGAGAAATGTCTGAGTGCAGAAAAGCTCACAGCAATGGTTGAAATCGAGGTTGCAGAGAAGGTTCACTCCGTTTTATCTGTGGCCATTAACAGCTCTGTGTGGCCCTCAGAGCTGGCCCTTTCTGTTAGTGGCTCCATGTCCAACACAAAAGCTCTTAGTGTAATGGTGTTTCATGCTACTGAATGTCTGAAAACATATTCAAGTAAGATCAAATCCAAGTGCCAGAGTCTGTGTTGGCGCTTAGGAAGCACTGATATTGACTCTCACAAAATGGCGGAATGTCCACCAGTGACTTTTAAAGACGAACAAGAGAGATGCGGATCGTCTCAGAGCGTAAAATCTCAGATCTCTGTCCTCTCAGCAACTGAAGCTGTGACTGAAATCCTTGTCAAATCTGGCGTCAACACATCTGTGGATGCTCATTTAGCAGCGTCTGAAATTGCCAACAATATCATTTCCGACCTCCATTACATGGATAATGGAAATACTTTGTTGTGCAGTGAAAAAAGTGACTCTCCACAGCCTGAGTTAAACACGGGACTAATACTTGATGAGGTGAAATGCTTTTATGCCTCACAGGCCACATCTTTATTAGATATGGCCAACAACAGAGAGAAAGTTTGCGAAGTCAGCTTTTTCAATTTAGCTGAAAAACGATTTGAGAAAATGAAGGAAGAGTTGAAGAGTGGGGTAACAAAAGGGGAGGCTGATTTTCTTGTGAAACTGACTCAGCATTCACAGTCATCTCCGCTTACAAAAGCTGAAGAGGATGAATTCAATTTCCCAGGAATGATTCTCCAGCCTCAGAGGCCCAAATCTGAAGCTAGCTGTCTCACTACACCAATGATCAATGTGAGTAAGAAGCATTCCTCTTCAGTACATTTGGAGATGATCAAAAAGGATATTGACAGCTTAAAGTTAACCTGCCAAAAACACCTGCAAAACAAAACATTGCATTTCCCAATTACGAGATCAAGAAGTTCTCAAAGGAACTGACTGATCAATTGTACGACCATCTGATGCCTTGTATCAGATTCCTCTGGTCCAAACAGGAAAATGTCTCTCTGACACTGTTATCTCTTCGCGCAACACACAATGTAATGCTGTTCAGACACGCTTTTCTCCTGAAGTCCTTTACGTCATGACAGAGGACGCAGTGAGGAAGTTCTTGCAACAAGTGCTACTCTGGTTGGAGAAGGACCAATCAGTAAAAACACTGCAAAGCGACCAAATATCTGGTGCGGTAACTGACATCGAAGGCTTAATCACCACGATGCTTAAAGAAACCTCAGTTGCAGCATTCTTGATTGATAACAGCATTATCAATCAAATAACAGCATTATCAATCAAGAATCCTACGAAGAGATCCCCAGTCAGACTTCAAAACCCTCTTGCCCTCCTCCAGAGGTCTCTTATTCTGTTCCTGCAGAACCTTGTAAGGAAACATGCTTTGGAAAATCCAGTACGGGAGAATCAGCAGTGTCAATGGATGCCTCATCTGTTTCAACAGAGGAGATGACCAAGAACCTAATCAGTGTGCTTATCAGGAGGCTCTTTTTACCAGTTCCTTATCTAATTCATGAGACCCAGGAGAAAGTTATCACCGACAGCATCATCCAACGTCTGTGTGTAAAGTGGCAGGGTAAAAACATCATCCCAATATCTGCAGTAGGTAAAATCAAAGACGAGGAACAACTGAAAAAAATCATCAAGGGCACTATCAAAGACATGATAAGGAGTCAAGGCCATAATAGATACGTAAGGGTTCATATGGAAGCAAATAATCCATTGTTTGATGATGCTTTGATGGAGATCCTGAAAACCCATGTGAAGTCCACCACCAAAAAAGTCTGCAGTTGCCACGTCTTTTTCAAAAGGTGTTAAAAATATAACCAAGCACTGCAAAAAAGAATAAGTTGCTTTTCAGTATTCAGTACTGTAATCTTGCAACAATCTTCAGGGTTTCGGTTTCACTTCCTTAATATTTTCTGTACTGTATGGATATTGTATATATGTCACTTTAGGTTTTCTCCGGGAGCCCCGGTTTACTCCAGTTTCCAATTATTATAAAAAAAAAAAATGCCTTCTCAGTATTTAATACTGTCGTCTTGCAACAATCTTCAGGGTTCGATACCCTTCGTTAATCTTTGCTGTACTGTATGGATATAGTATATTCTCCCTTTGTCACTTGAGGTTTTCTCCCTTAGCCCTGGTTTCCTCCAGCATTTATTGAATCATAACGTTAAAAATAAAACAAATTTAAAACATATTCAAAGTTTGGTTGTGTTTCCTATGCTGTCAGATGTTTACAAAGGTATACATAGGCTACATGGTTGTTTCTAACAAAAATGGTTGACTTGTGTTACACTCCGTCAGCACCCTTGCATGTCTCTTTTTTTTCAATTACGATGTGCTGTCCTCATGATAGTTTTACCTGCTGAGGCACTGCTCATCCCACTTGGCGAGATGAAGATCGAGGTGGTTAAGGTGCAGTTACTGAGAGGTAGTCTTTTATGTAGTCTTAACTTTTACTTTTTTCTTTAGGGATTCTCCTAGGATTATATTTATTTAAAATGTAGTTTATATTTTGCATCTTTGTGCTTCAATTTAAAGCTGGTAAATACAGAGCTTATCTTTTATACTTTATACACCGCTGGGTAGCAGCCAAGCACTATCTTTGTCTATGTTTTAAGAATATATCATAACGTATTTGTTATATTTTGTGCTATTTATCTGACTCTACAATGTTACTAGAAATTAAAGATATCAAATTCAATGGAAAACAGATTGATATTTACCTCTTAGATGTAGTCGAGTAGCCCATGGTAGCAAACACATTGAGAAACTCAAGTAAAAGGAACATGAGCACTTGAGTCCATCATGTAAATGTGCCAGATTTAGTCAGAGGCTAGTTTTCATCTGCTGTCCCTGGCAGATTTATGGCATAAAAAGAAAACATACAAGGGCACAGAAGCACGGAAAGAAACACATATGCACAATTAATGCATGATTGCAGCACACATGAAGCACATATGCCCAATTAAGCTCTTATATACTAACAAATTAACACACAACAGACACAAAAGCACATGCATAAACAAAGTTAAGAGCTAATATGCACAGACAGTATAAAAAACAATGATATGACCCTTTCTCCAGTTGATCACATCATGTGTGATTGTCCAGTAACCACAGTTTGAGATGTTATGTTCAACAGTTCTGTGGGTACTGTGTTCCAGGTATGTGCTGCTGATTGGAAAAGGCTGACTGAGCAAAGATACTTTTATTGTATTTTACAATCCCCTCTCGTAGTAGCTTTGGTTGATGATTTTTACATTTTGTTTAATGAAATCATTAAGCTGAGGGGGTGCCAGAACGTGAAATATGCAATATAAAAATCTCTGCAAATTTGATTATGTTCTTCTCTCATAGAACGTTGTTTGATAAACCCTTGCAGAAGAAGCCAACTTCCCCTGCAGCCAGACAACCAGACAGAAAATTATTCAAAGTGTATTATTTAATAATATCCCAGATTTCCAAGCCTTCATCATTAGGCACCACACATGCCCAGACCATCTCCAGGGAGCCCTCAACCCTGCCTCCTGTTCCTCATGTTGCCAGG